TTAAATATTGTCATGTCTTTATTTGGTTTATAACCTTCAGTTGTGGGGCATATACCCGTTCTGTTTTTTGTTGAAGATTAAATTCAATTAAGCAATATTGATAAAATTTTGCATTCTGAAAATTGTCTAATTTACTATATATGCATCTGTTGAAACCTAATCATATAAAACTAAAATAATAATAAAATAATGAGTGATATACGGCACTCCTGAATCATTATAATTATTACTGACTTCCAGTTCCCCCTGAATGTATTTATTTAATTAACCAGAACACTTTTCAGATGTCATGTTGTCACATAAAAAGCGAAGTGAAGACCGAAGAAGAGGATTTGATAAGCAAAACTGGAGGTTTTCTGTGTCCAGCATGTGGTGAACAACTTTTAAACGAGAAGTATTTCCTTGAACATATCAGGGAACGCCATTATAAACCTGATCTGCAAGTACAAGATGAGGAACATAGCTTGTTACGTGAATTTACTGAAGGTTCTGTTCATAACAATGGTCATGTTCCAGAACAAGATGGTTGTTGTGTTCGAAATAAATGTGACTTTAAATCAGAAGTAAAAACTGAGCAGAGTGAATTTAATGAAGAGGCTGGAGGCTTTCTCTGCTCAGTTTGTGGGGAACATTATGCGGAGGAGGCCAGTTTTATTGAGCATATCAAGGATCACGTTAATACTTCAGGCAAACGAAAAAGACCAAGATGTGATGAATTTCAAAGTGATCGGGATAATAGTAGCGAAGTAGCTAATCTGGACTATTCTACCATATATCAGAAGAATCCCAATTCTCAAGAAAGTGAAAACCTGTTGAAATGTCCTGATTGTTCGTATACAACAGCTCGTAAATCAAACCTCAGAGTACATATGAAGACTCACTCCGGAGAGAAACCATATAAATGTCCAGATTGTTCGTATGCAGCAGCTCTGAAATCACATCTCAAAGTACATATGGTGACTCACTCGGGTGAGAAACCATATAAATGTCCCAATTGTTCATATGCAGCAGTTTGGAAATCACATCTCGAAGTACATAATATGGTGATTCACTCGGGAGAGAGACCATATAAATGTCCAGATTATTCGTATGAAGCAGCTCGGAAATCAGATCTCAAAGTACATTTGAAGATTCGCTCCGGAGAGAAACCATTTATATGTCCAGATTGTTCGTATGCAGCAGCTCGGAAATCGACTCTTAGACTTCATATGAAGACTCACTCCGGAGAAAAACTATATAAATGATCAGATTGTTCGTATGCAGCAGTTCGGAGATCAGAGCTCAAAGTACATGTGATGACTCACTCCGGTGAGAAAGTACATATGAAGACTCACTCGGGATAGAAATAATTCAACTGTTCAGATTGTTCTTTTAAAGCAGCCCAGAATTCAAATCTACTAAAACCGCAGAAAATGCATGCTTGCCAGACACGAGAGAACTCATACCGGCCAAAAACTATTCAAATTTTTGGAATGATCATTATATTATGAAATTGCACCAAAAGTGTATTTTTTGAACATTAGAAGACTTGTACCGGCAAAAAACTGTACAACTACTGTTCCGTGTGTTCATTATGCTCTCCTTGCTGGAGTTATCTAGTCAGAGAAACATATTCCGGCGAGAAAACTCTGCCCTGATGCTGTAACAACACTAACTAACTAGACATATGGGAACTCAATAATAATTAGCAGACTGAGAAGTTGTACTTCTGTTTTAAATTCTTTGCGATATGTTTGTCTTAATCGTACTATACCTTATCTTGAATGTAAAATCTGGATTGGAGTATTGCTCATGAGTTGCATTGTTGTAATGTATTCTGTGTAAAATTATCTTTATCCCGGTTACTGTGACAAGTAAAAAATGCTCTTATTAGGGAAAGGAGTTTACTCGACGTTTCAATGTAACTACATCGTATTCATGATTTAAAAACAAGTGTTATAAATTCAAAACGTAAAAAACATATATCTGAGGCAAAATTTGTGTACATAAATTTATTTTTTAAAAAATGTTTTTTACGTTTTGAATTTTTAACACTTGTTTTTAGATCATGAATACGATGTAGTTACATTTAAAAGTCGAGTAAACTCCTTTACCTAATAAGAGCATTTTTACTTGTAGCAGTAACCGGGATAAAGATAATTTTACACAGAATACACTTATCTTGAATGATTAATAATGAATGATAAAATCGACCAGCTTCTATTAGGGATCTTATATAAACTTATATTAAATATTGTCATGTCTTTATTTGGTTTATAACCTTCAGTTGTGGGGCATATACTCGGTCTGTTTTTTGTTGAAGATGAAGTTCAATTTAGCAATACTGATAAAATTTCGCTTTCTGGAAATTATCTTATTCACTATATGAAATATGCATCTGTTGACACTTGATCTTATAAAACATTGTATAAATCTGAAATAATAATAAAATAATGAGTGATATACGGCACTCTTGAATCATTATAATTATTACTGACTTCCAGTTCCCCCTGAATGTATTTATTTAATTAACCAAAACTCTTTTCAGATGTCATATTGCAATTGTCACATAAAAAGCGAAGTGAAGACCGAAGAAGAGGATTTAATAAGCAAAACTGGAGGTTTCCTGTGTCCAGCATGTGGTGAACAACTTTTGAACGAGAATAATTTCCTTGAACATATCAGGGAACGCCATTATAAACCTGATCTGCAAGTACAAGATGAGGAACATAGCTTGTTACGTGAATTTACTGGAGGTTCTGTTCCTAACAATGGTCATGTTACAGAAGAAGATGGTTGTTGTGTTCGAAATAAATGTGACTTTAAATCAGAAGTAAAAACTGAGCAGAGTGAATTTAATGAAGAGGCTGGAGGCTTTCTCTGCTCAGTTTGTGGGGAACATTATGCGGATGAGGCTAGTTTTATTGAGCATATCAAGGATCACGTAAATACGTCTTGCAAACAAAAAAGACCAAGATGCAATGTAATTGAAAGTTTTAGTGGTTATAGTAGCGAAGTAGCTAAACCGGACTATTCTACCATCTATCAGAAGAATCCCAATTCTCAAGAAAGTGAAAACCTGTTGAAATGTCCCGATTGTTCGTATACAACAGCTCGTAAATCAAAATTCAAAAGGCATATAGATATTCACTCCGGTGAGAAACCATATAAATGTTCAGATTGTTCGTATGCAGCAGCTCGGAATTCAGATCTTAAAGTACATATAATGAAGATTCACTCGGGAGAGAAACAATTTATATGTTCAGATTGTTCGTATGCAACAGCTCGGAAATCAAACCTCAGAGTACATATGAAGACTCACTTCGGAGAGAAACCATATAAATGTCCAGATTGTTTGTATGCAGTAGTTTTGAAATCAGAGCTCAAAGTACATATGATGACTCACTCCGGTGAGAAACCATTTATATGTCCAGAATGTTCGTATGCAGCAGCTCGGAAATCAAACCTCAAATTTCATATAATGAGGACTCACTCCGGTGAGAAACCATTCAAATGTTCAGATTGTTCGTATGCAGCAGTTCGGAGATCAGATCTCAAAGTACATATGATGACTCACTCCGGACAGAAACCGAATAAATGTTCAGATTGTTCGTATGCAGCAGTTCGGAGATCAGATCTGAAAGTACATATGGTGACTCACTCCAGAGAGAAACCATATAAATGTCCAGAGTGTTCGTATGCAACAGCTCTGAAATCAAACCTCAGAGTACATCTGAAGACTCACTCCGGTGAGAAACCATTTAAATGTCCAGATTGTTCGTATGCAGCAGTTCGGAGATCAGATCTGAAAGTACATATGATGACTCACTCCGGACAGAAACCGAATAAATGTTCAGATTGTTCGTATGCAGTAGTTTGGAAATCAGAGCTCAAAGTACATATGATGACTCACTCCGGTGAGAAACCATTTATATGTCCAGAATGTTCGTATGCAGCAGCTCGGAAATCAAACCTCAAATTTCATATAATGAGGACTCACTCCGGTGAGAAACCATTCAAATGTTCAGATTGTTCGTATGCAGCAGTTCGGAGATCAGATCTCAAAGTACATATGATGACTCACTCCGGACAGAAACCGAATAAATGTTCAGATTGTTCGTATGCAGTAGTTTGGAAATCAGAGCTCAAAGTACATATGATGACTCACTCCGGTGAGAAACCATTTATATGTCCAGAATGTTCGTATGCAGCAGCTCGGAAATCAAACCTCAAATTTCATATAATGAGGACTCACTCCGGTGAGAAACCATTTAAATGTCCAGATTGTTCGTATGCAGCAGTTCGGAAATCAGATCTCAAAGTACATATGATGACTCACTCCGGAGAGAAACCATTTAAATGTCCAGATTGTTCGTATGCAGCAGCTCTGAAATCAACTCTTCGGAATCATCTGAAGACTCACTCTGGTGAGAAACCATTTAAATGTCCATATTGTTCGTATGCAGCAGCTCGGAAATCAAGTCTACTAAAACACCAGAAAATTCATGCTAGAGGAATCTAACCCTACTATACAGTATACACGAGAGAACTATACAAGTTTTCGCAGTAGAACTATACAAGTTTTCGCAGTAATCGTGACATATCTGCCAGCGTTTATTAGGGATCTTATATTAACTAATGTTTATATATGTCAACATATCTGTATCCTGGTGTTTTGCTGAAGATTAAGTTCAAATTAGCAATACGGATAACATTTTCATTCTATAAATTCAATGACAAGTAGTTTCATTTCTTAATCAACTTTCACCTCTTCAAGCTGTATAACTTACCCGAAAAACTTAAATGTTGCGTTGATGTAATCTGTAACATATTACTAACTACAATATGTACAGTTTGATTGTATACACATGCACATAACCATGGATAACATATTACCAAAATTAGGATAATAAGCTCTGTTAATTTGCAGGTGGAGTTATATACCTGAGTAGTAACTATGGTAACTAAGTGGTAACTAGGTGGTAACTTAGTAACTAGGTGGTAACTAAGTTAATTTGCAGGTGGAGTTTGAGGACTACGAGTTCGACCAGAAGATCTCACAGAACTACCTGATAATGCAGGCTGCTTGCAGGGAGATAGAGAGTAGTATGGGAAACTTTGAGAGACAGGGATCTGATACTCCTGAGCCGGAGAACCAGCAACTTAACTGTAAGTTAGTTTGGGGGGGGGATCTGAGGGGGGGGGGGCAACTTTGAGAGACAGGGATTGGGGGAGGGGATCTGCGTTGTAACTTAAATGTACCGGAGGGGGTTCTTGACACCTATATACATATGATACGATAGTTTGAAGTAACAGAAGCTTTGAAAAACATGTGTTAATCGTATTCAAACCAAATGTAAATCAGAAATATAGCTAAAATCACACATGTGTCCATCAACTAGCCTCTAACTAATGTATAATTTAACTTTACAGTATCTGAACTTGCTGACAACTCCTTCACAACTAGTTCAAGTTTCTGGGAGACTTACTACGACTTCCAGCGGTTTTACAAGGTACCTATAGCAGTTAAACCTTTTAGTGTACCTCAAACTTGGCTACCTTTAGTAATGCCCTTGGTTGTTCTTAGTTACCCTTAGTAACCCTTAGTAATACCTTTAGTTACCTTAATTACTTAGTTACCCTTAGTTACCCTTAGTAATGCCCTTAGTTATACCTTTAGTTACCCTTAATTACTTAGTTACCCTTAGTTACCCTTAGCAATACCTTTAGTTACCCTTAATTACTTAGTTACCCTTACCGTAACTCTCCCAGGAGCAGGCAGAGAAGACTCCAGAAGAAGCAGTGAAGCTAGCAACCCTCTTAGTAACAGAAGTGCGTATGTGTGTCTGTGCTGATGAGAGTCTGAACGGGCATGACAACGTAGTGGACATGATTAACAGGCTGGATGACGGGACTGAGGTTCCACCTGATCTCAGGTCAGTCAGAAAATGGGCACTAAGTATTGAGCATCGATCTTTAACTAATTAACTAAATGTATAATTACAGGGTTTAATTAACAAGTTAACTGATATTGAACTAATTAACTAATTGTATAATTACCGGGTTTAATTAACTAGTGAATCGATCTTTAACTAATTAACTAATTGTAAAATTACTGGGTTTAATTAACAAGTTAACTGGTATTGAACTAATTAACTAATTGTATAATTACCGGGTTCAGGTTCACCACCCTCTGGGGACGAGCTGTGTCCGGTACCTGGACCACCTTTTCCCTACAACTCCGCAACTTCAGCACTGAACTGATACGAATCAACAACGGAGCTATCAGGGGTTAGTCTTACCCTACTTTTAAAAGGGGATTTTCGATATAATAGTTGTCCAACAAACTAGGACCAGTGACCGAACTTTTGAGGGGTCCCGATCCCAACCGCCCACTGGTGCCCGCGGTGCTGCTATGCCCATATTTGGTCCCTTTTTTGCTCAATGATGCCAAATCATCTCAACATGCCCAAATCCCAGATTTAGGTGCTCCACTTACAGTGGTCTCCTGACCTCGATTTGCTTGAATCTCAAAAATGGTATTTTGTCGAGCTGAACATCCTGCATCCTTTGAACATCTTCGATTTGCTTCAATCTCAACAAGAATTGCGCCGGTTAGCAGACGCTAGATTTCCATCAACCGTAGTGATTGCCATGCCTTTTAAAATTTAAAATTAAAATTAACGATAGTTTCATGTTGGTCAAAATGTTAAATAATGGTTCTTTATTCACCATTCTTGGGGCGCTACGGAACACAAAATGGAGGGGTTGTCAATTAGTCAAATTTAAAAAGTTAAATGACCGGACACCGTAGCGCCTGCGTCTGTGTGGTGATATGCAGTTAAAAGTCATGAAATACGTAGTAGGTAACCGTAATGCAACTCATGATAACAGTTATGGTCCATTTCGTATAACAAATCAAGCTCTCGCAACAAAACGAGAAGTTAGTACGTTGTACTGCATCATGATCAATGATCAAGTAAAGAAAAGCGTGAGCTACAGGCTACTCAACACGTCATGTAATGTATAAAATCCGGGAAATCGCTTGTTATCTAAATCAATTGGCGCCGCGCGCAATCGAAAGTGTAATTCGATCAATCGTAAAATCGTGCAAACGTATGCGGAGGGTAACCATGGCGACTAAACCATAACTGCTCTGCGCGCGGAGAATATGCATTAAAATAACGTATGCGGAGGGTTATGCATGTTTTGCTTTGTGACACCACGAAAAACTTAGCTACCTACTATACCCATTCTCAATTCCTTCCACTTCTATACATCTTATGCCTTTTTAAAGAAAAAGACAGTTGATGTAAAAAATGGCGAGCTGGAGGCCTGTCTTAAAGGTTCTAGTTCGACGTATCAGAGCTTCTTCAGCTAATGGATATGAGTGTGTCATCTTTAGAGGCACTAATTTTACAGTGTATCATGTATGTGTCTTTTCGTGTCATCATTTTTTGTTTTGTCTTCATTCGTTTATTCTTTTTGACTGTATAATTTTTAATTAGTTATCTTATAGAACTAGTTCACTTCACTCGCGGACAGTCCTTGTTTCATCCCTAGCTCACACTTTCATTACGACTTTGGTCGCCTACCACATGTCTCTACTTTACTTCTTTGGCTTAATTTTCTTAAGTGTGATCTCTTTCAATTTACCTCGAGGAGACTTTGCTATTTATGTTGTAATTTAAGTAGTCTCGTTTTCAAATAGTCTCGTTTTCAAGTAATCTCGTTTTCAAGTAGTCTCGTTTTTAAGTAGTCTCGTTTTCAAGTAGTCTCGTTTTCAAGTAGTCTCGTTTTCAAGTAGTCTCGTTTTTAAGTAGTCTCGTTTTCTATTTGCCTGTCAATATTATGCAAAATCAGTCCTTGCCTACATCAATCTAAGCATACTATAACTATTTCTTCTCATCACACCTTATTATGCGTATCACTTAATTAAAAAATTTTTCAGTTCTTTCTGAACAATCAAGTCATTATAAAGCACCACACTCTGTGACTATAAGGACCTTCACCCTGCAACATGACTATTACACCTCATCACTCGTTAAATATTTAAATTAAATCGTTTGAGATTTTGAATCGATAATTAACCCTAATTATCTTCGCTCGTGCTTCCACTTAATTAAAGGCACGTTACTCCATGTTCTACTATTCTAGCTCCTCATGGAAGTGAGTAATCTCTAAACTAAGGTTCAGTTTACTATTTGTCCACTTCTTCTCTGCCAAAGACCTGTTTCCCTGCACTTTGCTTTTAACACCATCATTCATCCTCCATGATATTCCAACTCCAGGTCCAAGTATTTTTTTATTGAAATCTTTCAAATCAGTCAATTACATACAAGTTTACACAATGAATTAGTTAAATATAATATTGTCCTCTAAGCATGGATTGTCAAAGTTGAAATTGTCTCGGACAAAATGTATGTAACCAAAGGACCTGAGGGTCACCAAAACACAGATATTGAGTGCAAATGCAGCTCCTGCACAAGCATGGGCCCTTATAAAATTGTAATAAGTTACTTTAAACAAAATCACACACCCATTCAATAAATTCATAAAATATTGTGCTGTGAGATGAAATTGAGAAATATGTGAATGCAGACAGCAAGAATAGATAATCTTGAATAAACTATTTTACGGATTTGTTTCTATTGAATAGTCAAGTTCAGAGTCCGAATCCACCGGGATAATTTTCCCCCACATGTAAGTGGAAAGTTTACTTTTAAAATCAGTGATACTCTCTATCTCACGGATATCTAGAGGAATGTGATTCCACTTAGTGTGGGTCCTATAGAAGAAATTCTTGGCAAAAGCGTTGGAGCTAGCTCGAGGTGAGATAGAGCTTACAAAACATAGAGAGTCCATGTGACTATTTCTGAGCCTTGAGTGGCCTTGAAATGGTTGCAAATATGAGGGTAAAGTGACAGGTATATGTTGCTTCACAATTTTAAAGAAGAAGATGAGATCCAAGAAGTCAAAGCGGTCTTCAATCGGCATAATCTTCAGCTGTCTGCATTTTTGAATGTATGTGGATGGTGGATAACTCATATACTCCTCGTGAAGAATCCACTTAATAGCACGCTTTTGGAGGCCCTCCAGCTTGCTTATCTGGGATTTTGCGACTGGTCTCCATATAACCGAGCAATGCTCAAAAAGGCTCCTCACTAAAGTGAGATACAGTACTCTACGACGATTTACGTCTTGGACAAAATAACAATTTCTTCTCGCCATGCCTAATTTTTGGTTTGCCTTAGAAAGGACCTTGGAGCACTGATCTTTCCAATCGAGATTTGATGTCACAATTACACCCAGATCCTTTTCATGATCAACATAGTCAAGTGTGATTCTTCCCATGGAGTATACAAAGTTAAAGAGTGGTAGGACACTAAGGAGGGAAACTGTTTCGGATATCCTATAGGGAAGTATAGTTTGACTTTTATGCCGCACTACATATATTAGCCCATGCACCGTAGAAGATCAGTGTTCCAGCCTCCAGAACGGTAATAATAATGATAACACCTGCCACACAAGTCACAAGGGTTACCCAACAGTACGGGGCCACTGCACACTTTCACATAGAAGAGCGTGCTCTACCAAGCCTGTTAGTCACCTGTAAGCTATAAGGGGACGAGTAACACGAGCCCTTCACCGCACCGCACCACGTCCTCATTTACTCAGGTTTATAGATTGCTAATGATTAGTTCACCTGTTACATTGCTTCAGCTGATAGCCTCTTATACGGATACATCTTTTACAACTACAATGTTAGTGTGCAGTTTCCACTTACTTTCAACGAGTATCTCCATTTCAACATAGTTTAATCAAATCTTATTTGTTTTGCACATCATACAATTATTGATATTAATGAAAAGGTTTTGGATTTTGATTGTCGAATTTCCCCTTTCAATATATTCCCTTCTAGAGCAATGAGACTGCTGAGAAGGAGATGTGTTATCCGACCTATCCTCTACTACACTGGTATAGCTCTGCTGTTATGTGCGGGAATATTCTACAGCTTCACTGCTTCTGAGGAGGGTAATATGTACTGGACAACAGGGGTTTGGTCTCAAAATAGAAGTGAAACTATCATCAATCAGACCGAGACTTTGGTGACTCGAAGCAGCGATGTTTTGATTCCTAATACGAAACCAAGATTATATTTTGAAACAGATGCCTCATATAGAGAACGCTTAGAACTGGAATCAAACATCCAGTACAGTGCTATGTTCAAGAAACTGGATAAGCCCTATTTTGATACAAGAGAGGGGTACAATGAAAGTTATGTGGACTCTCTACCTCTGCTTCGGAATATTCCAGACTACAGACCTCCTGGTTGTGAGAACATCACCTACCCCACCAGCAACACCACTGTCTCCGTCCTCCTAAACTATCACAACGAGGTCCTCTCTCTTCTGCTCCGCTCTATCTACACCATCCTAGCTGCTATTCCTCCGCATAACTTATGTGAGCTGATATTGGTGGACGATGCCAGTAATTTCACTTCTTATCCGGACCTGGAGAGGTTGGAGCCCCTTGTTTCTCAGTTTACTGTCACAGTCAGGTATTTCAGGTTTGAAACTAACAGGGGACTGATTTATTCAAGGGTTTTTGCAGCTAAGAAGGCTAGGGGTGAGACTTTACTTGTTCTGGATAGTCACGTTGAGATGAGGAAGGGATTTCTGGAGCCGCTGCTGCAGATCTCTGACAGAAATTACCGAGCTATTATTGCTCCCGTGTTTGATTTCATCGAGACCTTCAAGATGATCCACTGGAATTACGATGGTCATGGTCTTGGATATGACGCATATCTCAACTGGGTATGGGTCGTCAATGTAACAACTGGAACAGAACCCTTGGAAGATGCCTGGTATATTAGGTGGAGCGTTTCTAATGACTAAGCGGCGTATGGAGGAGATAGATTATTTCGGAAAAGGTCTGGTCGGATGGGGAGGTGAGAATATAGATATTTCTCTTAAGAATCTGATGTGTGGTGGGGAAATCTGGGGAGTTCCTTGTTCCAGGTGCCTTCACTTTGCTGCTTCTAGGAAACCTCAGTTCCACGGTGATCGTGTGCGCGCATCTGAGACTAACAATGAAGTTACAGTCGCTAAATCTTATTTAGATGATCATCAGTTTGAGGAGTTTTTGAAGGGTAGACCTGGATATAAGGAGGATCTCGCCGATAAGAGGGCTGTTGCAGAGAATCAGAAACTGTTACAAGACTTGAAATGTGATAGAGATTGGGAGTGGGTGAGGGATCATTTGATGGATCCTGTTATAGAGAGCTTTCT